AGGTTCCGTTAGAACCCCTAAGTATAATTGTTTTCGGCTCCTTTAGGCGGCTTTATGGTTTATCGTTGCCTGGTTTAAAATGAAATTTATAAAGTTTAAATACGATTTTAAAAGTTTTAATACAAACGTTATAAATTTTCAATCGAGCTTTACTTAGATTAAAACTAATGTTACATCGACACTTTTTTTTAAACCCCACATCTGCTCTCCCGTGAATTTCCGGGAGGCACGAAAGATCTCCTTTTAAAAGTGTCCAATCGTCCGATCCTGATCAAACTCGTATGTGTGTTCGTAGGCCTGTTCTGGTAAGTTTATCTGCCAAGACAGACAAACTTGAGAAAAATCAAGTGATTGTACCTTTTTTGAAGGTCTCTAACCAACTTGTCTGAAATTCATCGGAGAACAAATGTGGGGTTTAAAAAAAAAGGTGTCGACATGTTTTAATACAAATGTTCCAAAGATTAAATTGAATTTTATAAAGATTAATTCTAATGAAAAAAGGTGTAGTGTGACCCCTTTCAATGCAAATAATTATATGTCTAATTTTGCAAAACCCAAAGGCGATGTAGGTACCTACTTTTGTGCAAATGAATGTAATCCTTTGTGCAATCAATAATATAAAACACTTTCGGTACAGATTGAACCACGAGGAAGTATAAAGCCAATATATACTTGTCTTATACATATATTCCACGCAAGCGTGCTCCATCATTGTTCATTTCTTTTATTGTCATCATTTATTGACAAATATTTAAACATGAAAATTGATTGAAATTTCTTCCCGCTTCTGAGTGTTTTGTAGCTCCTAATGACTAAGGCGAAACGCCACAGAACTGTCTATTGGATATATTGGCCTCATTCGCTTTGGCTTCAGGCCTCGTTATTTCGGACAATGGACATGAAATGGCTGTCGATGAAAAAAAGTTTTCCATTCGTTCACACTACGTCTGAACTGATCGCCTGCGTCAACTTGTTCTGAAGCCTGTACGCCTGGAGCTTTGTCCCGTTTAATCACATGTCAACGTGAATTGGATGGATCTGCGTGTGTCAGTCCTCTCCCCTCGCCTGATATCGACGGAAGCAATGCATCTGCGTCGAACGGGAAAATGCACTTGACGAGCTCATTCACGAGCGCACAAAAGCAACGGTCTCGGTCCTCGGTTGCCCATGCATGCATTGCACATCGACACATGAAGAGCGACTGAATGGTTAACATGAATGGGATCTAGGTTGTGCGTCGTATCTCGGTCGATGAAGTAGACGGGTGTACCTATGCAATGTTAGGGTGTGTCGACCACAAAGAATCAAGTGGAGACAGTTATATTTTATGGCCCAATAGCATGGCAAGACGATTGCTTCGAAAATTACCAGTCAAAAATGAAAAACTGAGTCCCGCGAGGCAAAATTGTTCGCCGACTTGGTCCCTCTCTGGCGATACTAGCGCCCCCAGCTTATACAGTAGCGGCCGTTCCGAAAGCTTTAGTTACATAGGTGGCGCCATAGTCGACCAGGCATTAGGCAATACGCAACCGAAGTGTGACGTCATGACTACTGGCTGGGGCATAATCAGCTGACGGCCCTGTGTTAAAGCAATGGGACGAAATTTTATCAGCATTTTTAGAACAAACTGGACCTAGTTAGATAGTTTGGGGGCCAGTTTCTAGGTAAACTGAGTATATTCTATTTTTCTACGCCCAAAAAATGCTATGTTTCAAAGCGGAAAGGACCGAATTTCGCGAAATTGTTACGGGCGGCGAACTAGACGCACCAAATACATGACCTTGAGATGCGAACTGTGACCGCGTCGGGAGGATTTTGATGCGTAAGGTTTGACATATTTGATTTTGAGCTGGATAAATATTTTTTATTTGTAAAAAGCAAAGGAGAAAATTCACCATATAAGTTATTTTGAAAATCTTTTTTATTTTAAATCCATCATTTTAAACCTCTTGATCTAAAATGTTTTGTATTTCTGCGTCAACTTCGCCGCCAATTAGGTTTTCACGAAATTTTGTGCTTTGTGTTGTTAGATTTTGCAATATTTTTTCATAGAAAAATAGATCATACATCGTTGTCCTAAATTCAGCTACTAAAACTATCTAACTAGGTCCAGTTTTCTTAGGAAAGATCGGCAAAATATTGCCCCATTGCTTTAGCACGGGGCCGTCAGCTGATTATGCCCCAGCCACTTATCGTGACGTCACGACTTCGGTTGCGTATTCAGTCGCACACGAACGATTCTGACAACAGGATGCTGATTTGTTTGTTGCTAGAAGCGATATAACAGTGTAAGACGCGTGTGGTGGAATGGGCACTACGAAAGTTTGTCAAATACGCACGTTGCACAGTCAGCTTAGCGGGTTATTCAACAGATAAATCAAATGCAAATTTGCGCAATATAATGCAGTTTGACAATGACAATAGCACAGTTGGATGGTGGGATACGGTAGGCCTTGGCGCTGCAGCGTGTAGTGATGACGAGCTTATTTCAGCACATCTCGCTTGGAGTTGAAGACAGGGATGATTTTGCGGTGTTTGAAGCTTGTCGTGATATGGCCGTGCCGCGCCTCATCGCCCACAACTCGTGAGCTGGCCAGTAACGTAGCTAAGGGGGGTCCCTATGGCCTATGGTCCCTAGGGACCCTCCTTGGGCCTTCCATGGGCCCCTGTCCCCGAAGCTGACGGCAGGACCCTTCGAAGTTTCAAAAGTTCCGGGTTGGGCTGTTTCAAATCGGAACCCCACATGTAGGTATGGGGGCTTTACCTACGTATACCCTACCCAATTTTTTTAGGGCGGACTTCACCCACTTTATTTTTGATCGGCCTCTTTTTGCATTTTTATTTCATATTTATTTCTTATAGTTTGATTGTGGTCCGAGGGACCCTCTTCGGAGCTAGTGAAGAGGCCCCTGATCGCTTGACGGGTGCCCTCTGAGCTACAGAAAACCCTCTGATTGCATTAAGGGCCCCCTGATCGCTTGACAGGGGCCCTCTGAACTACAGAAAGGCCCTCTGAACGCACGAAGGGACCGCTGATCGCTTGACGGGGGCTCTCTGAGCAACAGAAAAACCCCTGAGCGCATAAACCCTAATTGCTTGCCAGGGGCCCTTTGAACTGCAGAAAAGCCCTCTGAGCGAATAAAGGGGTCCTGATTTATAGCCAGGGGTCCTCTAAACTGCAGAAAGGCCCTCTGATTAGACGATAGGGCCCTCTGAACGCATGAAGGGACCCCTGAATCCTGATTGCTTGACGTGGGCCTTCTGAGCTACAGTAAAACCCTCTGAGTGCATGAAAGGGCCCCTGATCGCTTGACGGGGGCCCTCTTAGCTACTGAGGGGCCCTCTGAACGCAAGGAGTTTTTTTTCTATGCCGCCAACCGTTATCAGGTGACCAGGAGTGCCCCCTCCCTCTTTCCCAGCGGCACACAGACCCTTACGTTAACACCAGAATAACTTAAAACTGCAAGTCGCGGCACTCCCTGCTAGGAAATGAAATGTAACATAAAAAAGCAGAAGGGAGAAAGTCATAGGTAAAACTAGGGGAACGAAAAAGAAGCAAAGTAGTCAACACTGCAATCAGTGGTGACTGCCCACTACTGAAAACCCATCCAATTTATCAGCGCACTCACACATCCATTACATTCATAACATTCATACACGCTTGGGGAAAGTGTCCAAGTCCACAGGGGCAGGTTAGTTAGAGGGGAATTCACAGTAATAGCCAAGTTAATCATCAAACTCAGGTCAGATTCAGCGTATGTCAGCAGCAAGGTAGCACGGGCTCCCAGAGCACCCAACGAAGCGAGGCTTGTTGTCGGGCGCTCCAAGCTGCCCTCTGAGGTGAGCTCATGATGGGGCTCTCTGACTAACATCTGAAGGGTCCTCTGTTAGTGTAAAGGAACCGCTATTTGCGCGAGGGGCCCTTTTTGGACCGAGAGGGCATTCCGTCAGCCTGAGGGGCTCTTTGTTCGTCCAAAGGGCCCTAAATCAATCGGGAGGGGGGGGGGGCGTTTCCCCACCTGGGGAGGTCCTCTATCGACTTGAGGGCCTCTGTCAGTCTCAGGGTCCCTCTCCCGACCTGGGACCCAACACATAATGTTCTGTTTTAGATCGGGTTTTCGGCATCGGAGATCAGCTGTGCCGCACTTATGCTATAACACACGCAAAACGGCACCCCTTTTCCCCATATATCCCTCACACAGAACGAATATTTTATCCAATATTTGTTAATTCACTTCGTGCCGGACGATCGAGCCGAGCGGACGTGCGCCAATTTTGTCTCGTGAAGACTTGGGTGTGGTCGGTGTGGTGATTTAGTGGTAGGCCGAGGATATTATAGGATTAAAATAGTTTTTTTTGTCTCAAGGCTATTATAATTGTTAACGTAACCTTTGACTAGAGTTTAGACTTCTCACTTTCAAACCATTACTTGTTTGCAGTTCAGCATAAAGTAAAGTAGCATCTGCGCATAGAGGTGCCATGCCGCGTTCGCAACGTGACTTAAGGCACGCAGCTTATTAAGCTACCTAGGTGGCTAACACCGGGTTCACACCTGGCAACACCTTACGATTGTCACCGTTGTCAGGTAAGCACACTGCTTCATAGCAGTTCTTAGCCGGTGTGACTTGGTCCTTATCTGGCATCCCACGATGCCACGTTAGCCACCTCCGCCGGAGGTAGCTTAGCAAGCTGCCTCGGTCTTCGGGAAAATTCAGATAGCTTACAGTTTTACTCACTCGGTACTTTTTTTATTTTGTTGGCACTTATTCCGCACTAAATCGATAGAAAATTGCCTCCAGGGCATAGCTCGATCAACTGCGCTGCGTTTGTCGAGGTTTGAGAAGGGACGACGGTGAAAACAGGGCGCCTGGGGCGATTTGATCAAGGTTCGTTAAATTTACACGTGACGTTTGGGATATAGAAGGCCCATGGAGCAGGAGAAGTTCCAAATGTCACGTGACTAATATGCCCTACGGCGCCCTGTTTTCACCGGCGTCCTTGAGAAGTCGACGGCTTGTGTCGTATAATAAGGTTGAATGGTGTATATTTTATCAGTCATCGCGTTCATAGTTTGGATTTATTTCTATTATTGTTTTTACTTATGGTATCTATTATGTGATAGGCTTTTATAGTGTGTTTGAGTTGTATTTCGAACAGGAGGTTGGAGTATAGGTGGAGTATTTATAATGCAGTGACAGTGATGGTGCCATGAATCAGGAAACAAATGGATCAAAGTCAAATCGAAGCTACAGTTTGCCTTTTAACTGGAGTGTATGTGAGTTCTTGAGTAAGTAATTAGAATCTGGGAATTAGCGGTTAATGTTCAGTAATGCAATACATTGCTGTAACATTTTGTATACAAAATGATTAGAAGTACAAATTGAAAAAAGGTTTTTAGAGTGAGGAAAACCTGATGCATTAAAATTACATTCGTGCTGTGTTTGTGGACTGCTTTTCAAGCTGGTGTGTTGTGTCGTGTAATAAGGATTGTTCTTTTTTATTTTTAAGTGCTTTTGTTTATCATTTTTATTTGCCTAAATTATTATTGTTCTTTGTGGCAACGATTATCCAACCAGTAGAGGAAGAAAACTTGGGCTGCGCTGCAAGCTGGATGGCCAAGCTGCGTTGATAGGGAAATGTTCACAAGTACCTTTTTATGGGAACCATCTACCAAGTTGGGGAGAAGGTGGTTTTAATCAATACGATTTCATCTTTTAAGTGTTTGGGTAAGAAGCATGCTAAATTCATTATATTTTAATTGCCCAAGCTTCTTTGGAATAAACAAACGATAAGACATATTCTCTTTGCTTCAATAACTCAGATCTGGATGTGAATTTTTTATACGATTTCATCAATACTTAACAAGTTATTTGCCTAAATGCCAAACAAAATTATTCCTTGTTCATTCTATTTAATCGAGCTGTGAAGCAGTAAATAAATCATGGTACAGCTATGAGGTACATGCCTTTATCTTTCAAAGCTGGTAAGTAATTGATGTGACGGAGCTCACTTAACTTGTTGATAAAATCAAAACCATGTTTAAAGTTTGCCCTCACTCATTTGCAATCCTGCTTCAAAGTCCCCATTTTTGTGTATAGCTAGGAAAAGTGCCACATGCTTTTCTAATGCAGTGTTAAAAGTTGCATACTATACCTAGGCTTTATTTAGACTTCATCCATTTGATGCACACATGACTTCGTCTTCCATCTTCATTCTGGCACTGTCTATCTAACTTGTTTTTGAAATTATTTGTTTATTTTGGCCAATATTGCTTCCTCTGGTAACAGTCAATAATTTTTATATAAATTTAGTCCGAATGCTTTGAATGGTTGGATTTCTCTCATCTAAAACTAGTGATGGAAGCTAAAATAATTTCTGTCAGCTAAAATTCACTGTACAGTGTACTGTCAGCTAAAAAATATTAAAGTAGAAGCCTCAGCCTCTTTTTGCCGCTTTCAAAGACATATCCTTGCTTATAGAATCTTGCTTTGTCACAAAGAACTGATATGGCTGAATATTTAGCTTTCTAGTTATCAACTTGTTAGTGTTGATCATATCCACCTGCCTTGTCAGTGATGCACATATCCAACTGTTTCATTCACCCGTCGTATTACATGTCCTGTGTTCAAAAGGTCCTGAAAAGCACAATTCCACCCTTAAAAGGCCGAATTTGACATTATGCTAGACACATTGGGTGTGCTGCTTAACTGTGCTTCTTTAATAGTTTTTTTTTTAAAAGAAATTTTGTCCGAATGGATGAATGGGTGGCTATGGGCCCGGGTGTCCCGCTAAGCAGTGCTTGTTGCGAATGACACCACGGACCCACCACCCCACCTTGCCCGCGCCCGGTTCACCGGTGATAATGTCTATTACATTTTGCTTCATTGGCAAACGCACAATTGTTATGCTAAACACCAGTCCCTGTTTATTGAGTTTATCCCTGTTTACTGGGGCCGGCGCGCGGCCCGGCAGCGCCGCTGGGGCCCGTGCTCGGTCCGGCGCGCGCCGCTGGGGCCACGCCACTGGGGCCAGCGCGCGGCCCGGTAGCGCCGGCAGGGCCGGTGCTCGGTCCGGCACCCATCCCGTGGACCTCATCGCCGGAGCCCGAACGCGGAGACACCGACGCTCGGCGCTGATCGTTGTCCATGAGCAGGTCCTCTTCGGTGTCGCTGAGAGCATGCGATTCCTCGGCCACGCGACTGGGACCATCACGCGGCGCTTCTGCAACGCCGCTCCGGCCAGCGCGCGCTCTGAACGTCTCGCCGGGACCGGTAGCACCACTGGGGCGGGGGAACGGCGCCCGGACAGCACCACCTGGGCTTGGGCGCTGCGACACATCTAGTTCCCAGGAAAACTCCGTTTCCTCATCGCTGCCACTGGGGCTGGCGCGCGGCCCGGCAGCGCCACTACGTATCCAGCCCGGACGATCTTGCACGCAAACTATCGCAGCCCAAGGCCAAACACCGCAACACGTGGACGGTATTGGGAAGAGATGAAAATTGAGAACACGATATGCTTGCCAATTTAACTAGCCTGAAGGTATGAGGCACAATTTGCGATAAATTAATATAATTCACAAATATGTACACATCAAATAGCTGGAGCACCACTCAAGACACTGGTTCTAACACAGAATAAATAAAAGAAGACATCGAATTGCACCTCATCGCAGCCACTACTGGCTTCCCGCAGCCTATTTGGGATATTTTATGGTAGACAATTTGGTACAACCGGATGAATACATTATTTAAGTTATTTTGGATTATTGACTTACAGCATGCTTCAACAACAATTTCCATTAAGTAATAGTGCATAATATTATGTATTTACCGCAAAACTGCCCTATAATTTCCAATATTTCGAATTATTATAGTTGAAACTAGACGCCTCCTCGTGTCTACTATACGCTCTCCTACCAAAGGTGGCTTAGTTAGCTACCTAGGTAGCTTATTAAGCTGCGTGCCTTAAGTGTCGTTGCGAACGCAAAACGTATTTCGTCATCCAGATTTGTCTACTGGCAAACATCACTTTTATCTTTCCTTTCACTTTGCTCATTACAATTATTTGGCATTTTGTGATAATACTGAATATAAAAGCAGGTTTTGAATTTTCATAAAATACCTTGGAAAGATTACTGCCCAAATGTTGTACTATTGTAGTTACAACAAGAGAAACAAACAAATAACACAATACAATTATTCCTCTTCCTCAGAGGCACCTCAATCAGTAGTGCTACAAACAAGTGGTGATACGCGTAGTACATTTGAGCGTAGTTTTTCTTATCTATCGCGGTAACTGGTACGCTGGCTGACGAGTCAACCTTATCTGATCTTTATAATTTAACCTTTGATCCCTTCATAAATGATATAAGCAACATATCCACGACTCATTCCCAATATGATAAGGTCAGGACCAGCTGCAAATTTCATGAATGTACCAAGGTGAGAAGCCTGAACTGTTTTGAAAATAACATTTCTATCATCCATATAAACGCACGTTCAATGGTAAATAAACTTGATGAAATTGTAACATTTTTGGCACAAATAGACCAGAAGATGGCATTTGTATGCATTTCAGAGACCTGGCTCAATCCAAAAATAGAAAATAAGTTTTGCTTAGGGGATGAATATATGGCTTTCTACAAAAGCAGAGAAACTAAAGTAGGAGGGGGATCAGCAATTTTTGCTTATGACAAATATTTCACTGGCATCCAAAAGATAATACTATATGAATTCAAAACAGCAGAAGTAGTTACCTTACAGGTAACTAATGGAAACAAGCCATCTTTCCTTATTTGTCAAATTTACCGACCCCCTGATAATGAATGGGAATTTCTTCTTGAAATGGAACAGTTTCTTTCCGCCTTAACCGCACTAAACATGCTTGCATTCATTGCAGGTGACTTCAATTTTGATTTATTCTCAATTAATAATAATTCTGCAAATGAATCATTTTTTACATTGATGTGCAGTTTTGGATTTTTGCCAACTATCTCTAAAGCTACCCGCATTACCCCAACCTCAAGTACTCTTATTGATAATATCTTCACAAATGACTTGTCTAAAATAGTAGTACCAGGGGTAATTGTAACAGACCTTTCAGACCACCTTGTAATCTTTACAACTGCAAATGTTGAAAATAAAATATTAGAAAAGAAGGATAAGGAAAGAACAGTATTTGATTACAATAAAATTGAACACCTGAAGGGCCACCTAATAGAGAGTCTTGATGATCTCACCACTCAAACAGATCCTGAACTGGCCTGCATACAGATTATACAAGCATACAAGGACGGCATTGCTATGTGTTCAAAAACCATAACATGCTCAAGAAAAAATAACTTCATAAAACCATGGATGACCCCAGCTATACTCTGTTCCATCAATCACAAAAACAAAATGTTTGTGAACAAACTTAAAAATCCTAATTCATACAATATAGCACAATACAACAAATATCGAAACTGTCTAAATAGGGCAATTACAAATTCAAAGAAGGCCTACTATGAAGCAGAATTTCAAAAAAACAACAGGAACCCCAAAAAGACATGGGAAACATTAAATGAACTTCTAAAACAAAAAAGTAAATGTGATATTTTGCCAGGTGAAACACTAAACAACACTGAGAATAGCGGTCAAGAAATGATGTCAATGGCTGAAAGTTTCAACAAATTTTTCACAGAAATAGGGGAAAAGTTGAAACAAAATATTCCTTGTAACAACACAAATCCCTTAGAAAATGTTCGAGAGACAGAAGGAGAAATGACTAACTTTTCTAGTGTCACTGATGATAAAGTGGAACAAATAATTAAACAGCTTAAAGGAAATAGTTCACTTTTAACATGGGGTTTTGAGCTGGAATAGCAGTTTCGTAGCTTGAGCTGAGACTAGCACAAATCAAGAGCTTTTACGGCTCAACGATCACCCTAGACGAAGATATTCCATTTCTCGTTCCGAAAAGAGTGCCTTGTAGAGGAATGCGTGCCTTGCACAGGAATGCAGCCACGTCATCGTCAGCCAATCAGCGTGCTGCTTACAGCCAATGCAGTATGCGTAGGTTTGAGCTACGCAATATGATTGGTCAATGCGTAATAAGCTTCCGCGTCAAACATTATTTTACATAGAATATAGTTCGTCCGATATTAAAATATAGAAAATAATTGTTTTTACAAAAAGGTTTTATTTTATTTCATGATTATTTTGAGCATAAAAAATCATAAATCAATAGCAAAATACTGATTTCAGGAAAGTGGACTGTTTCCTTTAAAGATGTTGGTGCTGGAATTGA